AATGATGAATAGATAGATGGATGGAAAAAGAGACAAAATGATGGATGATAGATGGATGGGTGGATGAATGTATGGATGAAATTAAAGATTGAATAATTGTAATTGTTGGTGAATGGGGTATATGCACGGGGACTTTACTTTAAATAAGGCCACTTGTGCACTTCCTGTGATGCCATTATAAAAGTACTGGGAAACACCCATACACACTTACAATTCACACACACACACACACACACACACACACACATTCATACACTGCAGACACTTTAAGTTTACTAATTTCACCTATTGCGTATCTGTTTGAACTGAGGGGAAACCGGAGCACCCAAACCAACACAGGGAGAACATGCAAACTATTTATTATGTGTAATTGTTTTTAAGATGTCAGATTTCATTGAAATAGCAAATATATATATAGTTTTAAAGTTTGTTAAAGCTGCAGTATGTAAGATCGACACCCAGTGGATGAACTAGATATTGCAGTTCAAAATCAAAACACTTTTTCACTTGGCTCATCCTCTGATGACTGTAAATGCTGGCTGCCAGATTGATGACACCAACAAAAGCGAGCATTTCTGATTATCGAACCTGTTCCGTAACAACATGCATACATTGAAGAAGCCTTCAAGTCTAAAAATTAAATACACTGCGTTTTCCACCAAGGCAACCCGGAGTGCTGAAATATAATTGGTATAAAAAAGCATTCGGATGCTGGATGGACAGTTTCAAAGGAGAATAACTGACTTTAGCAGTGTTTTTCAGATGTTTACTTAGCATATTTAGTAAATATCTGGCAACATATGGTATTTTTATGCTTTAGAAGAGTCAGAAAATTACATGCAACACCTTTAATAGCACTGGTGTATTTTCAGTGCATGTGTGTGAACATTGTTCAAAATATCTCATTTTCAGTTGTCTGTTGGCATGAGAAAGAATAAATGATTCATTTTTGTTTGTGAACTGTTCCTTTAAGATAAGAAGTCATCTGAGTGATGGCAAAGCCAGATTTCTGCCAGCTTTACAAAGCCTCTTCCTTCCTTTCACAGGTTGCCGGAATGATCCACTCTAGTTTGATTTATTATGTCTGTTTCCTCCTCGGCACCAATCTGGGAAGGTTTTGATGTGGGCTTTCATTTCTCCTACCTGTTTTCTTTCTCCATCTGATTTATAATACCTGCTCTGTGTTTTCTCAGGTCAAAGCTGGGCCTGTTCCAGTCCAGGATAAGTTTACAGAAGGCCAGTGTGAAGGTAAACAGCACCGTCTGTTTCAATGAGAGATGCTTTGCTTCTGCTGTAAAAGCATGTTTGTGTGGCTGACACATGTTGACTGTGCTGGAGGGCTTTTAAAGGGATAGTGTGACCAGATTTGGACTGCTCGTCGTGTGTATGGGTTGAAGAGCTTTAATGTCTGACTGGAATTTTCTTCAGTCGACTGTTAAGATTGCAAAATGTGTAGTTTTTGGCTTATTTTTAAACTTCAATTGAGAGTCAAGTATTGTTGTTTTGTTGTTGTTTTCTCAAGTATAATTGTTTTCAGTGTTCACTGGACCATTTACACAGAATGCGTTTTCTTAAATGATTTTAAACGGGTCGTCATTTTCACATGTCCTTGTAAAGCTACCCAATCAGCCCAACATTCATTCTGTCATTAACAATCAATCTCAGTAAAGCTTAACAAAACCTAACTTTATTACTCTATTTATTAAAATAGTTTAATTATCTTCCTAACAATAACATTTGTTTTAAAGTTCTCCATGTAATTAAATATAGAGCATATATGATGAGCACTGTGACCTGGACAGACTGTTGTGCATACAGTCAGAATTATTAGCCCCCCTTTGACATTTTTTTCTCTTTTTAAATCTTTTCCAAATGATGTTTAACAGATTCAGGAAATTTTCACAGCATGTCTGATACTATTTTTTCTCCTGGAGAAAGTCCTATTTGTTTTATTTCGGCTAGAATAAAAGCAGTTTTTAATTTTTTAAAAGCCATTTTAAGGTCAAAATTATCAGCCCATTTAGGCTAAATATTTTTGATAGTCTCCAGAACAAACCATCGTTATACAATAACTTGCCTAATTACCCTAACCTGCCTAGTTGCCCTAATTACCCTAGTTAAGCCTTTAATTGTTACTTAAAGCTGTATAGAAGTGTCTTGAAAAATATCTAGTCTAATATTATTTACTGTCATCATGGCAAAGATAAAATAAATCAGTTATTAGAGATGAGTTATTAAAACTATTACAGGTATGTTAAGTGTTAAAAAAATCTTCTCTTTGTTAAACAGAAATTGGAGAAAAAGATAAATGGGGGGGGGGTAATAATTCTGACTTTAACTGTACATTTACTTTATTATAGTTTTTAAAGCTTGTCAATTTCTTTCAAAGTAAAATTATGTTGAAATAAAATTGTATATATGCAAATAGACTTTGCTTTTTTTGATGCGTTTTTTAAATGAAAAATCTTTTTTATTTAAAAAAATCTTATATGTAAAAGTCTGTATAGGTTTTTTCATTATGATCTTTAAAAGACTTTAAAAAACACTGTAAATTAACAATTACAATTGTAATGTAAAAATACAGTACAATTATTTATGTAAGATTTGCTTGTAAACAAAAGTTGCCAGTTAGTTTACAGTATTTTTTTAAAGTGTGCTCATTTTTTCCTGTGAAAGAGATTTTAATCTCATAGAGCCTTTAATTACTTTAAATGACTCTGCTTTTATTGTTTAAGTTAAATCTATCTATCTATCTATCTATCTATCTATCTATCTATCTGTCTGTCTGTCTGTCTGTCTGTCCGTCCGTCCGTCCGTCCGTCCGTCCGTCCGTCCGTCCGTCCGTCCGTCCGTCCGTCCGTCCGTCCGTCCGTATACACTCACCGGCCACTTTATTAGATACACCTTTCTAGTACCGGGTTCGACGCTCTTTTGTGGTCAGAACTGCCTTAATCCTGCATTGCATAGATTCAACAAGGCACTGGAAATATTCTTCAGAGATTTTAATCCAAATTGACATGATAGCATCACACAGTTGCTGCAGATTTGTCATCTGCACATGCATGATACGAATCTCCCATTCCACCACATCCCAAAGCTGCTCTATTGGATTGAGTAATAGAGAAATCCCAGTAGATCTGCAGTTTCTGAAGTACTCAGACCAGCTCATCTGGCACCAACAACCATGCCACATTTAAAGTCACTTAAGTCACTTTTCTTCCCCATTCTGATGCTCAATTTAAACTGCAGCAGCTCGTCTTGACCATGTCTACATGCCTAAATGCATTAAATTGCTGCCATTTGATTGGCTGATTAGAAATGTGTTGTTTTTGTGAGGTGTAAGGTGAGTGTATATAGCAGGGGT